GAAAATGCAAGACAAAGAGTGGAAATACACACAAGAAGAGAAATGGTGGAGAATGGTAATTTGAAATTTGGCAAGATACAGAGTGACTAATAAAACTGATTTCAGCTATATAAAATATATGTTCATTTAAAAAAAAAAATTATTGATCAGCCATTATCTGACATCTTACAGTAGTTTCTGTTCTTTTTCAAGGGGACATTTCTCTACAAATTACATGAACAGTAGCATGGCCTGCAGGAATGCACCCAAGGTGCAAGCTGGAAGACATTCTGTAGACTGATATGCACACATATCTGCAAACCCTCTCGTTGTTGTCTCTGCCTGCTTTGTTTCTATTTGCACACTTAATGCAATACTGAGAACCTGCAACAAAGGGATAGGGAATTGAATTGATGTTTTTAAACTTGGTATCTAAATGTTGTGAAAAAGGTGTCTTTTTAAAGCATTGGTCTCTACATAGAGAATTTTCTTTTTCTCAAAGCATCTGCCATGCATTGTTCCTCTGTGTTATTTTTGTTGTCTTTTGGTTTGGGTTTGGTTGGGGTCTTTTAACTCTCCAGAAGTATTGCTGCCTTCTCACAGCTAGAAAATAATCCTCTTATCCCCAAGGGGATCAGTAGGCTGGAATAGACGGGACATGAGTTAATGCTGCCCTAGTTAACATGAAACTGGAATTTTCTTGTAAGACTTGCTTTGTGGCTACTTTTCTGTGTCTAGCTATGAGTCCTGGTTTCTTTGGCTCAGTTTCCTTTTCATAGTGATTTGTTGCTTGCTTTAGTGATCCCTCTGCAGAAAGAGGGAATGCTTAAGAGATTTATTTTTGAATCTTTTTCAGTCCTTAGAAGCAGAAAATTCTCTTTCATGATTATTCTGATTGTAATGCAGTAAGGCTGACTGCACAAATATATATATATATATATATATATATATATATATATATATAAAAGATAAAAAAGTGGAATTCAGTCTGTGTTTGTGAAAAAAATGCTTTACTTATTTTTATTTGATGACCCTTTTTTGAATTCACAAACTTCTTGAACTGAACTGGCAACTGGCAAATTCTTGCTGAATAAGTATTTAAATTTATTATTTTCTTATTCACCTAATCCTGATGTAATCACCAAAAAAATTCATGACAAATAATCCTCCTCTTTTATCAATATGTACACAGAAAAAAAAAATGCAATTAGAAAAGGAGAGTGCAACTAAGCCTCTTCCCGTGTTCGTCATTTCAAATACCTGTGCTCTTGCCAATTGGGAAGGTGAATTCTTCTTTCCACAATAAACAGTGGAGTCCCACACCAGGTGTGTTTCCCATGCATCAAACATTGCCTTAATGATAGCTGAGGTAATTTGGTATTGAATTGCTTACTTATGTGCTTTCTTCTGGGGCAGACAGTGTCTGATGTAGCAGGTCAGGACTCGTTTTCAGTATGACACTGATGTGATGCAACAGGTCTTAATCCCAGCTAGTGCTGAGGAATAGCTCCCACTATTTGAGACTCACCTTGTGTATGCACAAAGTCAAGGGACAATGTAGAATTTGTCCTTCTAAGAAAACAGTTTGCTTATTAAATGTTATCTGACAAAAATATACTAATGGATTTTTTTTTTTTAGGTTCTTATGTTTATGACAATTTCTTAAACATTTTGTGAACATGGAATTTAGGAAACAATAGAAAGCCGTGCAGCTTGTATGAAACTAAAACAGGATCTGTCTGAGAAAATAATTAGGCTTGAGGAGAGGTTTTCCTTTGCAGGATGTTTCTGGAAAGGAAAGAAAAATAGAAAAAATGGTTATGTAGGGCCTCATATTACAGGCTCTTGTCTGTGATTGTCTAGAAATTGAATTAACCTCTCCCTTGTGCATATTGTTTAAAATGTAGATTAGGAAAGGCTACACAGAGGTTAGGACTCTGAAGGTCTAATAATCAGAAATAGTAGCAGAGGTCCTCACACTGGTAGAAGGGACGACTTGTGACAAGAGGAAAGGAGGGGAAGAGGGGTAAGAAAAATGTTAATTTTGGCAGTAGAGCTGACAGAATGGATTTGTCTCTAAGGCAAATAGTTGTAAAAGTAGGCCAAAGGGGTCTGCTGAGTAAACAAATGGAAGTTTGTTAGTTCTTTCCAAAAATGTTACTTTCTGTGTGCACTATCTAGGCAACAGAATACAGAAAAGGAACTTGTTAGTCTTTTAATTACTGAAGACAATTGCATATCGCTTTAATGCTGCTACCAACTACAAGGGTTTTGCCTTCAGGAATAAAACATCTATTGTTCACAAACACAGAGAGCTTGCCCACAATTATGGTGTTATTAAGGGGAATTGTGTTATGTGTAAACCTGGTAGGTTTCTTAACTCTGCATTCTGAAATAAGTGGGACATTTCAAGTTTTACAATGTAGTATTTTCAGAAGGATATTTTAAAACTTTTTTTATTTATGTTAATTGCATGAAGTTTGTAATTAAAAAGAATAATAAAAGTGAGGCAGTTCAGTTGTAAAGACTCCTCACTGATAGTTATTTTAGTGTCTGTCGTCCTGTAGTGTTGCATGCTTTTCCTAAATAGGTTGGAAGAGTTCTGTAACTCTTTGGGGTTATTTTGGTTTTTGGGGGTAATGGGAAGTCATCTGAGAGAGAAAAAAGTTGTTTAATTTTGAAGTGTGAATGGGATGTAACTGTAAAAATTCTCTCATCAACACGTACAAATTAAAGGAAAAATTACCATTTTTTGTGGCAAATTTTAAATATTTAAAAATTATTTTGAAAATTTCAGTCATCTTTTACTTTGCATTGACTATCCATACATTTCTGAGGTTATAATTGTTAATTAAAAAAAAAACATAGTAGAGCAGAAAATTTAATGTTTGGGGCAGGAAGATCCCTTTTGAAGCTTGCTGTCAAGAATTGCTCACTTTGTCTTTATTCTTTTTTATTCTTGCAAGATTTGAATATTGGGGTGGCAGAGGAAGAAGAGGGAAAGGAGGGAAGGGAGAGGACATGGAAAAATACAGATTAGGATTATGGGGTGAGAAGGGCAAGACTTGGAAAATGTTATTTTCAGGATATAGGTACAATTTGAGAACAGAAGGATGGCTGGTCACAAGTGATTTTCCCTTAATGACTCTCCAATCTGCCTCCCCTCCCTGCAAAAATGCACAGCAGGCACTATAAACCAAGGGTTACCTACTTGTCATACTTGCTGGGCTGCCAGAGATAGAGATAAATCAGGGCATAGCCATGGGTAATAGGACTACCTGATATGAGGGCATCGAACAGAAAAAAGTAGGAAGCAGTACTTTCATGTCAGCAGTACAGGCTGAGAACATAGACTAGCTTACATTGGCAAATGTTTGATTGGCCTGACGTAAAGAAAAATTATGCTGTGCTTTTACCTACTTATAAATCACCCTAGAAAGTGTCTGTTTTGTCTGCACCTAAACCCAGCCCTTTTGTTGGGGTGTTCGTTTTTGGTAGTAGAAGATGTATTACTTACATAAAAATCCACTAGGAAACCAGTTTATGTTCTTGATCTAAAGCAAGAGTAAACCTATTTAAAGCTTTCCGATATGAAACCTGTGTCATGGGATTATGTCAGGTTGACTGGGCAAGATGGACAAAAATCACAGAATCACAGAATGAATGGGTCAGGTTGGAAGGGACCACAGTGGGTCATCTGGCCCAGCCTCCCTGCTTAAGCAGGGCACATGACACAGGAACGTGTCCAGACAATTCTTGAGTATCTCCAGTGTGGGAGACTCCACACCCTTTCTATGCAGTCTCTTCTGGTGCACAGTCATCTGCACAGTAAAGTTTTTCCTAATATTCTGGTGGAACTTTCTGTGAATGAGTTGCCTCTTGTCCTATTGCTTGACACCACTGAGCAGAACCTGGATCCATCCTTTCGATACCCTTCCTTCAGATATTTACATACATTCATGAGGTCCTGTCTTAGTTGTCTCGTCTCAAGTCTGAATAGGCCCATCTCCTATTTTTATATGAGAGATGCTCAAGTCCCTTAATTATCTTTGTTGCCTTCTCAACAGGAGCTCCAGAAGCTCCATGTCTCTCTTGTTCTGAGGAGCCCAGAACTGGGCACAGCATTCCAGATCTGTCCTCACCAGGGCTGGGCAGAGGTGCAGGATCACCTCTCTTGCCCTGCTGGAATGTTCTTCCTAATGCACCCCAGGTCACCATTGGCCTCTTGGCCACAGGGTCACACTGCTGGCTCATGGACAGCTTGGTGTCCATCAGGATCCCCATGTCCTTCTCCACAAGCTGTTTCCCAGCAGATCAGCCTCAGCCTGTCTGGTGCCTGGGGTTATTCCTCCCCAGCTGCAGGACCCTGCAGTGCCTTTGTTGAATTTCAGCTGGTTCCTCTCTGCCCATCTCTCCAACCTGCCAAGGTCCCTCTGAAGGGCTGCACAGCACTCTGGGGTATTGGCCACTTCTCCCAGCTTTGTGTTAGCCAACTTGCTGAGAAGACACCTTCTCATCCAGCCAAGCCATTGATGAATAATACTAGGCCAAATATCGACCTTTGGGGGACACCACTAGTGACAGGCCACCAGCTAGACCCTGTGCCACTGATTACAAATTCAGATCTATTGTGTGCAGAATCAGTGGGTTTTAGGTAGATGGCAGTGATAAATTATCTTGAAATGGATTAGACTGTGGTCAAAACAAGCCAATACACAAGTAATGCAGGAAAACCTCATTTACAGAACCGGGATAGGAGATAGTTTTAAAATGTAGGTGTGTTGTGTATAATTTTCTTAGTATTCAGAAATGTCTCCCTATCTTTTAAACAAAGTTTATTCTAACAAGTTATTTCTTTGTGAAATACTTTCTTTGTTAAACACTTCAAAGCACCATGTGCTGATTTCAGTAGCAATTTAGATTTTTGCAGGAGAGTGTAATGTCTTCTTGTGTGCGATGAGCCTGAACCAATCCTTTATATTCTTTTTTTTTTTGTCTTTCTAAATGTGTGTGGGCTGCAGATGGTTCTGTGAAGGAAAAGAACTCCAGAATTCCCCTGACATTCAGATCCATTCTGAAAGTGGAGGACTTCATTCACTAATTATAGTAGAAGCCTTTGAAGACGACACTGGACGCTATACTTGTCTGGCTTCAAATTCTTTTGGTTCAGATAGCACATCAGCTGAAATATTCATTGAAGGTAAGAGATAAAATAATAAAATACTTGATGCATATAAGAAAAGATAACTAAGCTGAAGTTTACTTTTGGTTCTTTATTTTAACTTTGCATTCAATATGGTGGTATTTTAATGGTATTCCACTGCTTTTCTCTAACACAATACATATTGAGCATCACATCATATTAATGCTGATATTTCAAGGAATATATCAGGAATCACTGATTAGATTGCTTTTTATTTAGGGTAGAAAAAAGATAAAGAGTGAAATAGAAGGAACTAACAAAAACTGTGGCATATCATTAGCTTTTAAGCAGTACCTCTGCAAATCACCAGTTAAAGATTTGACTAGTGATAGCAATACTGATTTTCCTGATACCAGTAATCCCCGTCTCAGTTTGGAACTGGCTCCCTGTGCAAATAAATGTGGCTGCTCCAAATGAATCTTCTTTAGTCAAGTGTAAATGTACTATGATCCATTATTTTTGGTGTACTGATTTTAAGTCAAATTTCAGTCAGTCATACTGGTTTTGTCCAGAAACAGCCGCTAGTTATTGTCAAAATATTTCCTGACTGCAAAATTAGTCATAGTTCAAGTATTATTTTCTCTGAGAAAAGTTAATGATTAACATGAATAAAATTACTAAGTTATTATTTAGCATGGAACTGTATTTCAGGCAGGATTATCTTAACTGAATACTGATTTTTATTTTAATTCATATGTCTCCCAAAAAACTGGGTACTATATATTCTTTCACCAGTTTTGTAACTCCTTAAAATTAATTTAAATGGTCACTTGAAAGCATAAAAGAAATTGACATAAGAAATAGTTATAAGAAATCTGAATAATGACACACCAAAATTATTAAATAGCTTTTGATTAACAAAAAAAAAAAAACCTTTCACTCTTAATTAGCTAAATCATTACGTATATGACTTTATAGGATTTCTTTCATTATGCTCTTTATTCGCAGAACTTTTTAATACCCGATTGGGATATAATAACAAAACCCCCAAGACTCTTCTGAATCTCACAGATTCTAGTAGGAGTTTTGTGTACAAAAGTAATTATGAAAATACTCAGATGTAGTACAAATATATATTGCTGTGTGAAGTTATAAGGACAAAAGCAACAGCAAAAGAAGAAACACCTAGGTAGAGAGACGCTGTGAATAAAACAATTCATTCTTTGACATCTGCCAGTCTTGCTATATGGAAGTCCTATCTTGAAGTTTTATAACATGTTGCTTTGAAAGAGAGAGACTTGTGCAAGTCATTAGTCAGCTCCTGTCATTTTTAAGGGAAACAGATTGACACACAAGCATTGCTTTATACATTAATAGACTTGATGACACTGATGCATCATACTTTCTTTTGTGCAGCAGGCCCAGCCATGCAAGACCTGGTTATTGTGTGTTCTTAAGAAATCCTTGCATGTAGACCCACTTTGATGACTGGACATTTGCTTCTTTCTTCTCGTCTGTTCTGTGCTACTTATTGCTTTTATTTTTTTTATAACATAAACTTTGTAAATCAATAGGGTACTTGGGTATTTTAGTCCCAGCATTGTTTCATTGGAATCTGTCTATGCTATACTATGGATATTGGTTATGAGGTGCTTATGGTTTATATTAAATATACAGCTATCCATATACATGCACAAATTCCTTGAGGAACAATATGATTGCATAAATGTCTAGAATAAATGTGTGAAGTATCTGTTGTTAGGAAAAATTACAACAAAGGGAATAAATGGTTTCCTATTTTTTTCTTTAAGTAAGCTCAGGGTATTGCCAAACACATACATTATATCAAGACTTCCACTGGCAAGAAATAGCAGTACGTAAATGTTATGTGTAGGTTAATGTAAATAGTCTGAAATGTGGACATCATGGGCATAAAGTTTAGTCTAAAAATGTCTTGGTATACTGAGTTGCTCTTAATTAAGCCTGAAGTTTTGTTATCTGTGTATAAGCTGTATGTTTGCTTAAGCTTCAAATTTTAAATTTAGGTAAATAAAATTATATATTTCCCATAGAGCAATAGTACTCAGCATTTTTTTTTCTGTCTTGTCCATATTTGTTTCAATAAGAAGGGAGACAGCTAGGAGCCAAGGGAAAGCAGTGTGCAATTAAATTGGCATGGTTATGATTTCTGTAACTGTCTAAAGTACATAGTTACAATCTTTATCAGATTAAAAAAAACCTGCCATAGTTTGTTTCAGGGAGTTCTCAATTCTTGAAGTGAAATACAAAAGTATCACAGTTTTTTCTTTGGAATTTAAACATGAAATAAATCCATAAAAGATGTGAGATTATTGAAAAAACTTTCTTTTCCAGGTGCCAGTTCTACAGATTCAGAGAGTGAAAGTTTAATTTTCAAATTAAAATCTGGAGCTATGCCACAGTAAGTGTGTAAAGCAGTACCAATATTGTGTAAATGTTCTTAATAAGAGATACTGGAAAATCTTTGGTAGTTTTACAATATGAGTAAGCATCTGGGATACACTTGTGTATGCCTTGTCTTTTCTGTTTCTCTCATGTGATATAAATGTGTGATATTATAACTGTAAATTGTATTAATTTGCTTATTCTGTCAGAGAAGGCTGGTCTTACCCTGACAACATATGTATTGATACAAACTTTTCATATTCAGAAGTAAGTTTAAGTTAACCAAGTTTTCACTTGTAGTCACCCAATCCAGTGCCCCCAAAGAAATATTTGTCAAAATATTTGTAGTCCAAAGAGGACTAAAATTAAAGAAACAAAATGCATTATTGTTTCATCTTAGATCAGTACTTTTTATTGTGTGAGGAAGTGCAAATTAGCCAAAGGTTGTGTTCTACTCAAGCTTCATCTCTCCATCTTGATCTTCATCATTCATATTGATCTTTTCAGCTGATAATGACATATTTAAATATGTAGAAAATACAAGGTGGCATATGCATTAAAAGCTAACACATTCTCAGTTCAGATCCTATAAAGCTCTTCCTGGCTTTTTATTTTTCAGGGCCCAAAAGAAAAGCACTTCTGTTTCCTTGACAATAGGATCTTCTACACCAAAATCAGGAGTGACCACAGCTGTAATTCAACCTATTTCTGTGCCCAGTCAGCAGGTATTTTTTGACACCAATTTTTAAATCAGTAAACTATTTCAAATTTTCTTCCAAGATTCCAACTCCTGAATAACTATGTCATTTTGAGGAATTACACTGTTAAACTATAAACTTATATTACTCTGTTATGAATTACTATTTTTAAAAATTAAGTATTTATCCACTGAATGGGACATAAAAATAAATATACATATGGATTCTTACACAATGTGTATAAACACAGTATTTGAGCAGCAGACAGATCTGGTGATGATGAAAGTTAGAGTTTATCATTTAATAGTGACTTGTTCTACTCCCAGAAGAATGTACTACAAATGAATGCCTGCAATATTTTCTAGAAAAAGTTTTAAATTTAGTTATAAAATTTAATATTGCTGTCATTTCTTTGGGCCTTTTAGAGAAAAATAAATTTTACTATCTAGATGTTACATATAGAAAATCATTGTTTGTTCATTTGTACAAAGTCTTTAATGCCACTGTGGCTGACTTAGAGTTTACCTCTAAGTAAATGGTTGGTTTATAAATCATAAAATACAAACAAAATTATAATCTCTTTCAGCCTGTACATGGTAAATTCTTTTCTGTCCCTTAGGCTAACCTTAATAAGCTTTTAGATACCTGAATTTATTTATCACTGCATCAGTAAAGAGATGTAGTAGCAGAAGAAGCAAAAATGCTTCAGTGCAAAGGATTTACTCAAATTATTAACAGGATTAAAATTCTCAAAATACTTTTAGGAAAAGACAATTGGATACAAAATTTTCATTAGAAGTATAGAAGCCTTGAAAGCTTGCATTTTGATTTCAGTAATATAGCAGATGTGAAATACTGATGTCTCCCAAGACGTAGGGTAGAAAGAGAACACCCAATAAGACTGCACATGTGAGAGTTTGCATTTTTGCATATATATGGGGGCCATATCGTTGAAACTGGTTTTCTTTCCATTTTATAGCATTGTTGCCTTGCTTTGCAGATACAAAGCCCAACTTCATACCTGCACCATCTGGATGGATCCAAGCCTATATATTCTGCACCTATTTTTACGAAGGTATGTTTCATCCATCATGATTTTTATATCATACTCTTATAGTCCAAAATAAAATATGGAAATCATGTATCCTAATGCAGGAAGGTTTGATCATGTTCAAACTTTTCAGTATCAATGACTTTCTAAGAAAATACTTTTCCACCTCAGCAACTAAATTCTTATGCACTCTACTAGTGGATTTAAATAAATATTCTGTATGAGTTTGTCTGCTGCCCATGACTGTTCTCCATTGAGAAATCTTTGTGAAATATAGCAAGGTAAGCACCAATTACATATGATAGTCATGAGAAAGCCTCATTCACAATAGTTTGTCTACTAATAAGAGCAAGTAGCTCAGGCTTTTTAACTCTGATCTAGAAAAAAAATTGTAAGGTAAAAATCATAGAACCACTTAGGTTGGAAAAGACCTTTAAGATGATCAAGCCCTACCATTAACCCAGCACGACCAAGCCCACTGCTAAACCATGTTGATAAGTGCCACATCTACATGGCTTTTAAATACCTCTGCAGATGGTAATTCAACCACTTCCCTGGGCAGCCAGTACTTGCAAACCTCTTCTCTGAAAACAATTTGCCCAATATCCAATCTAAATCTCCCCTGTCACACCCTGAGGCCATTTCCTCTTGTCCAATTTCATGTTACTTGTGGGAAGACCCCAACCCCCACTTCATTGCAAATTCCTTTCAGGTAGTTATAGGAAGCAATACTATCCCTCCCAAGCCTCTGTTTCTCATGACTAAACAACTCCAGTTCTCTCAGCTGCTCCACATAGGATTTGTGATCTAAACCCTTTTCTAGCTTTGTTGCTCTTCTTTGAACACACTCCAACACCTCAATGTTTTTCCTGAGGGGGCCAAAACTGAGCACAGGATTCAAAATGCAGCCTCACCAGTACTGAGAACAAAAGCCAGTCCTTTCTCTAGTCCTGCTGATCATACTTTTTAGAAGAGAAGATTCTATTCAGAAAATTCTATTCAGTATTTTTTCGGTAATTACTTAAGTAAATATTTGTCTTCATATTCATCCCAAATTAAACTTAAGAAGCGGGAATTAGGTAGCAGCAAAAAGAAGAATGACATGCTTCCCTGACCTATAAAATACAACTTCAATTGAAAATATTATTTAATTTTGCCTCAAACAATGATTTCCATAGTAGTAATTATTATTTAATCACTACTCATTGAAGCCAAAATTAAGTATTTTTGGTTATTACTTCAGGAAAACATTTGATTAAAAATTGATATGGAACAGCAAATAGTTTTGTCTAGAGATCAGAGTAAGAGTAAGCCCTGCTCTCTACAGCTGTCTAGCTTGGCTCCATCGTATTCCTGTCTCATGTCAAGAAAGGTCTCATTCTGTCCCTCATAATTCTGCACCCATGCTGCAGGTGCCACAGGAGGGTGAATATTGGAGGTGCAAGAGATAAGAGAATGTGTTTACTGCAAGGTTGGGAGGCAGAAAATTTCCAAGCAAGAGTGGTAAACAGAAGTCCATTCCCCCATCCAGAAACTACCAAAGCAATCATAACTCTGCTGTTTCTTCCTAATGCTTGTATCTCTTGTCCCCAAAATTCATCATTAACTTGCTTAAGACAGCTGGGACATACCAAACCAAAAAACCTAATTACAGAAGAAACAAACCAGATATGAACAACAAAATATATACTTAATCCAGCTTCCTGACATAAATTTCTCTCTATATAAAGTTCTAGGAACAGCTCAAAGATTTTTAGGTTTCCATGTAACAAAATTCTTACGTATTTAATTAATTAGACATCTATGAATAAAAACTAGGAATAACTCTGAGCTTAGGCCTAACTTCAAGTGCTTTGCTGTATTAAGGTCTAAAACTTTGTCAATAAATTGCAAAGGAAATGAGACAACCACTGCAGAGAAAAAAAAAGACTCTTTGATTTATAATCTTAAGATAGATAACAGAGGTAAAAATAGTGTCTATCACCTGTCAGTTCTGTTATTTAAAATATCGTGTTTCCCTCTCACTGCAACTCTTCATTAAAGATCTAAACTTTTCTGAAATTTTTCATATGTACAAGGATTTATTACAACCAGAGTACTGTCTTAGAAGCTACCAGTAGTTAATATAAGCGAAGTTAATATATCCTAATCATATTGGTGTCATCTAATTTTGATTGGTTTGTTATATATAGCTCAGATGAAAAGCAGCTCAGCTTTCAGAAAACATTTTAGAGATGGACTCGAAAGCAGGTCAGCTACTCTCTCAGGATTAAGTCAGTCAATGTGTAGTTAGTTCCGGAATTTTCATTTCAGCTTGTGGAAGAAGAATAAAAACAAAAAGCTCAAACTGCAGTGATCTGCTTGTATTAATTTGAGGAATTAAGTACTTCTGTACTTTCCCCATCTTTGGTCTTTTTAAGAATGTATTTGTAAATAAACTATTCAATAATTTTTAACTATATAGATGAATTAAATTCAATCAGAATGAAAGAAAATGTCTATTGCAAAAATGTAATGACACAATAACATCAAGTGGAATTACCAAGGGAAGAAAAGACTATTTTTAAGAATGTAAAGTGCTCCTGGTTTATTTGAATTGTGATGTTTATATTTCAGGAGCTACAAAATGCCACAGCATCTGAAGGACAAGTCGTGGTATTGGAATGCAGGGTCAGAGGACCCCCTCCTATTCATGTTAAGTGGTTTCGACAGGGCATTGAAATTCAAGATTCTCCAGACTTCAGAATTCTCCAAAAAAGTAAGGCAATGTCATGTTTAACTTCAGCCAGCAGTTGAGGATCACATAGATCCTCATTCCCTCCGTGGGGAAGTGAATTGGAAAAGTAAGAGTGAGAAAACTCATGGGTTGAGATACAATTTAATAGGGAAAGCAAAAGAAGGAATCTTTTCACCCCTTCCCATGGGCAGGCAGGTGTTTAGCCATTCTGAGGAAAGAAAGATTCCATTGCCTGTAAGTTCCTTGGGAAGACAAACGTCCTAACTCTGAATGTTACCTCTCCTTCTTCTATGTGCTGAGCATGACGTCATATGGTATGGAATATCACTTTGATCAGTGCAATATGTTTGTCCTGGCTGTGTTCCCTCCCAATTCTTTGTGCATCCCCAGCCTCCTCTCTATCAGCAAGATAAAAGTAGCAGAAGAGGCTTTTATAAAAAAAGTCTATATTACCAGACCAACACTGTTTTAAGCACAGATCTTATACACAGCCCAATACCAGCTACTGCGAAGAAAATTAACTCTATCCCACTTAAAGCCAGGACATTTTCCACACCCTTATTCCATACTATTTATGTGCATGCTCAGGTGCCACACTAGCCAAGACATCTTCATGAGCCACCCTTTCTCATCCTTTGGTCTAATACAAAGATATCATTCCCTTAGTCTATGCATTATCCTGTAAAATTTCACAAAACCTACTTTGAGTTCAGTTAGTCCATGTCTTTGGGCTCCATCTGTTATGAAGCTACTCAGAACAGGAGAGGTGATGTGTTTCATGGACTTAGTGAGCACCAAAGGCCAGCCCAGGCCAGGTCATCACTGCCCTTGCACTGCTTCTTGTAAGGGCTTCTGCCTGATTGTTTCATGTTGTTCCTGGTATAGTAATTCCTACACAGGTTACAACAATGTAAAGGTATTACCATTACAATCTTCACCCATGGTCCCACTGGCCCCTAGCATTGGGTTTAACGTTGCAATTAACTCTTCTCCTTGTTTCTAGCCTGGCTAGCAACAGGGGTTCTGGCTGTCCTCACCTCAGTCAATTCCAGATGTACTGGACACCATTCCAAGTGAAAACCAACTTGGCCTAAACTCTGCTGCCGAAGGGATTGAGAAAAAGACATTAATGATGCCAGCTGTGGCATCCCACTTCGCTGCCTTTGACTCCAGTTCATACAGTTCATACTGAAGGTCTAGCACATCTGGCACAGCTGCACGCAGCCAAAACCAGCTCAGGGAATAATCTGAAGTGGCTGCTTTTAATTCAGGATGGAAAAAGATCATGAAATTAGTCTGTCAGGATTCAGTTTTGGACAGAGTCCTTTCCTCTTCCCATTTCAGTGCTAATGGCTAGAAATAATAATTGAACTTCTACTACTGACAAACAATTTAAATCTTGTTGATTTCATAATGTTTGCACAGGTTCTCTACTTATTTACAGTATTTCAGTATAATATTGTCATTCAGTACACTGATATTTATTAATGTAATCTCTAATATATTTTTTCTTGTTTGTTTTCCCTCCTTATGATGTGATATGCAGAGCCACGATCTGCAACTGAACCTGGTAAGAATCATATGAAAAAATAATCTCTTGATTCACTAGCTCTTTGAGTTTTTACTGAAGCCATAAATAGAAAAGTGTTTCTGCTGAACATTGGTAAATTGAAACCCCCTTAAAGACAATACTGCTTTATCACACCTCCCATACTGTACTCTGTCCTTTACATCAATTCCTTTATTAGTTAAACAGTAAATTCCATTTAGACCAGCAAGGAGAGTAAATGGCTTGCATGCTACTGAGGGAAAAAGAACAAGTCCCACAAAATTCCATTACCCAAATGGTGCTCATAAGAATTTAAGAATTACATAACACCCAACCACTAAGTGCTAGTTTTACCAATCCAGCTTGTTAGATGCAATGTGTCTTAAACACAAGTAAAAACCTGATCCTAAAAAAAAAAAAAAAAGTCACTGGCTGATTTTTTCTAGCCTATTCGTAAGATAAAAGCCCTAGATTTCAACAAGTAAAAAGTGTTCTTCCGGCTGCAGATTTTCTGTCTCTGTTTCATTTTCCCATTATACCTCATTATATACTGGGGAAGATTCTTGAATAGGAAGTGGATGCTAAAAGACTGAGAATGTTCTTGTCAAACATGTAGAAGTGAAGACAGCAATACAGTCTGAACTTTACCTTAAGAAGATGGACAGTTGTGCTTGAATATTCTTGAATTTGGAGAGAGTTATAATTATGACACTGAAAAAAAAAAGAAGAGTTTTCTATCTAGGATCTGAGTATTTCCAAAGAGTGTCTCTGGAAGTTGTTAGCAGTGGGAAGATGTTTTAAACTCTGAGGGGCTGAATTGACAGGGAGTACAGACTTAGCACCTGAGAGATATTTGTAAAGTAGCACTGTGACTATGAGGATACAAACTAGGAAAAATGCAGTTTTCCTTTCATTTTCATGGAAATGAGAAGAAGGAAAGAGGGAGAAATATTTTCTTTGTCAGCTATTCACTAATTTTCTTGCTACTTCACAAAATTATTACATACCTATTTTGCCTCATGTTCATTACATATATAGATTTCACACACGTGTGCATGCTCAGTTAATACTGTTAATCGTGGTGTGCAACATCATCAGCTCTAGTATTAGCTGATGCCCTGAGTGCATGTGACTGAATGATTTGATATGTGAAGGAAACAAGAGTATTGGAAAACCAAATTAACTTCTAATGAGGAATTAAAACATGTCCGAGTGCTAGCAGTGGGCTATTAGTATTTTATAATCATAACACAAACTTTAAGGTTTAAATATTGTAGTTAGAGTACAAAACAGTTTGAAGAGAGTTTCAATACCATCTCAAGCGTTTGGATATGAAAATAAATAAACAACAATATGTTTGTGAGTAAAGATATTTAATTCTGTATCTTTCTTAGAACATTCTCCTGTAATACATATTACAGAATAAGTCTCCCAGTTTAGCTCTTCTCTTGATATTTTAAAAAGAAAAAGCAATCTGATCAATAAGTTGACTTTTTTTCCCCTTCTCACAGGAACATTTGTTCTGTCAAAGTAGCAAAATCTTTTCTGGATTAATCTGTCAACATTATCAGAATCATACCTGGTGTATCTGGTTCGTTCTAACTAGGAGCTTCTTTTCTACAAAATCACTTGAACTGTGTTCAATTCATCCTTTAACATAATAAATAGTATCTGAAAGGAGTGACATTTTATGCAAAAGTTTCTAAGAAGTACAAATTTACCAGCCTGTCTTAGAGTTTTTCTTTTTAATATCCAATTTAGGACTCTTATGTCCAAACTCATAGTCATGAATGTTTGCTTCGTTTTGGTAATTTTTTTTACCCTTTCACCCTCTTTAATAAACCTTGTGTGTATATTGTAGATGAACTAAATATTTCAGAGTAGGAATGGAGCATCATCTAGTTGAAAGGAGAAGCAATTTTTTATTAGAAAGAAAAGGTTTCCTTTGTGTGAATAGTTGAGTGCTAGATTTTTTTTCATGAACAGCTAATTTTCATATTGTTAGTTACAAGGTTTGTATAGCCTCCCTGACAGTTATTGCTGTAGAAGAAGTAAGAATGTTGATATTAATTCACAAAACTATCAACTTGCTTTCATAACCGCTGCCTGAAATAGGAAATAGAAGGTGAGATTCTGAGTCCAGAGATAAGCACTTTGCCAGCCCTCTCACATAACTGCACTATCACGTTGTACGTGCTGAATATTCTCCTTCCCATTTCTGGGTAGCTTGCAGACCCTGAGAGAAGATACCTTAAGTCTTCTAAAGGGTACTAGGGAATGGATTCTTAGGTGCATTTCTTGAGTCTCCTCAAGTACAGAGAAGTTATTTAATGTCGAGGTATCACATACCATTCTCAAGGGAGTTGGCAAGACAAGAATAGGAAGACATCTCAAAACAGTTTTGGTATCTGCATTGTTGCAGTTTTATAGACGTAACAGTAGTGAATGCCTGATTGCAGTCTGGCTAGTTTGTTGTTGGATTATTTATTTTTTCATGCTTGTAATTATGTTGCAATATATATTTATGAGCACCTTCCTGTGCTTTCAGTCTGTGAAAGAATTTCAGTTTGGTATTTTATTCTCCCTGGATTCATTGAGTTAAGTACTATACTATCCCTTAAGATCTGTGCACTTATCTTTTCCTACTAAGCCCTATTAAATAAATGTAGTATTTTAAATAAAACAGTGTCTAACATACTACAAAAATTAATGACAGTAGACGTAGTAGCTTATTTGTGTAGGAATTGTCACTGTGCGTGCAAAGGGAATGTAAATAAAGTTCGGGCAAAATGTAAATATTTCATTTTGGCATAAATAATGAGCAATGTTTTTTATATTAGTAGTACCACTGATAATAAGTAACACGGTGTTTTAGGATGTCATGAGGAATCTTAAAATTTGTACAACAGGAAGTTGGATATGGGTATCAGAAATGTAATAGATACAGCACTGGTTTGTGATGTAATTCAAACTCTTAGAAGCCAGACTAAACAATGCCTTCAGAGGAAATTTTTCATGAGCAAACACATAACTGCTATTCAATACAGATGGTTAATACATATGCAAGATTGACAGGGGAACATGGATATGCTAGATAAGTATTCAGAATTTTGAAAGATGGACATGTTTTCTAACAATTTTTCAAAGTGTAAAACATCCATGGAATTTTACATAAATTGTAACGAGTTGTAATGGGACTTTAATTGCTGGTTGTCAACCAAAATCCAACCATCAATAAACACTTTATAGCACTCAATACAATCTGTCCTTTGATAGCTTAGTACTAACGATTTAAAGGAAAGATATTCCATGAACTCAAAAAGGTAAGAAATTAGGAAGCAAAGGGAGATTTTGGCTACAATTTTTTGTTACACTCTATCTACTCTAATGTGTTTTGCACTCCTTTTTCTGTCTAGACAGAAATCAGTTTGCATTGCAAATCCCTCCAGACTGCCTTGTGAATTAATAGGTAGTCAGATTACTCAAAGCCAACATCACAGTTTGTCAAATTACCTGTTCTGTACTTCTTTCTTGGACATTTTGACTTTATACTGATTGAATCCTTCAAAAACAAGCTGCCTGAGAATGAAAAATCCCGTGGAATCACTTGCCAGCTGTTGATATTTTGACCATTACTCAGCTGTCTGGAGACAGCCACAAACTGTATTGAATTACATTAGAACGATTGTCTAACAGCATGTAAGAAGAAAACTGTATGAAGTAATTTTGCTTAAGTTGCCAGGGAATTGCCACATATACATGGTTTTTTTTAACTAAACACAATACTGTGTATGTTCACAAAACACTTCTCAAAAGATAGTCATCACTTCTCTTGGATTGTGCTTTCTTGTTTCCTGTTTAACTGCTATGTTCCAGAGTCCCCACTCTAGTTAAGTAACTCCTTTAGAAATTCCCCCCTACTTCTACATAACATTTGAAACTGAAAATATATGGCAAATGTTACAGAAATCCTTACTGCTTCCCTGCACCAAGAAAATCACCTTTCTGGTAGCTGATGAAATTCAAAAGATAGAAGCCTTAGTAGGTTAGCATGCATGCCAGATCCTTGCACTTTTTAGTGAAAACAAGAGAATTACAACTGATCTTCTCTCACTGCTGAGAAGCACCAAGAGCTTGGAGAAAGCAATCTTCTATGAGCCATATCCCAAGAAACTAGATTAAGAGAAAATCTGAAAATAGGCTACAATTTCCCTTCATTGAAGTTGGTCTGATCAACTTACATGTTATTGCTTTCAATTAAATTTTCAATTGTACTCTGTACTCCCAAGATACCTACAGAATTCTGTTCCTGTCAGTGACCTCATCTTAAGTCTGACTGCTACAACTATCCTCACTTGTTGATGCTTCCAAATTCAAAGTAAACATCTGATCTGTTTTGTACTATGTGATTTAAAGAAAAAAAATGCTGTAATTCCTCTCTGATTGTAAATATTTAAAGCTTTTTGGAGTGCAGTAATATCCACAGCTATGTTGCTGAATGCATTCATTCCAGCCTTGATGTATGTACCTAACTTAACTTCAAACTAGGTGGTTTAGATATCTACAGTATCCTAACTGCCTTAGGGTATGCTTTAGCATGAAATTTTCCTTGACAGTGATAAATGGATTAATTTCTCCTCAAACCTGAACAATATTTTAAGGGCTAAAGTTTTTCTTGCCATGGCAGTGTATTTATTGTACCCAATCTGGCTAGATAGCAGATGTCTTGGTTATTGATTACATGTCGTGTAACCTAGGCTCTCCATCCTAAAACTACATTCTATTCCTCGCAATCACATTTGCTGTTGTTCAGTTTTCTTATCAGTCTTTTGTAAGTGCTGTTTAGATATCTTCAAACATAGTCAGTTTTGTGCATCTTCTAAAAACTTTATTCTTTGTTCCTTGAGTGACATAAAACCTATTAAATAAGCCGGAACTGCTGTCTGACAGGGTAAAGGTATATACGATAGAGATCATCAGAAACAGGCAAATTGAATACATTTTTTTGTTACGCTATTGCAAGCTAAGGCATCTACAGGTCTGCTATACTACCATTTATTATGCTACTCTGCATATTCTTCTCTATTTTCACACTTATCTATTCTCTTTATATAAAAGATGCACAGATACCTAGATGAGAAGTAATCCAGTGGGCCTATTGCTTTGAGTTAAACTGGAGTTAAACACTTGTTGAACGTGAGGGAGAATAAGACACAAATGGTCTAGAAGTTGGCAGAGTTCTGTTTTGTTGAATTTTTACCAGGAAACCACAAGTGTGATTTCCCACTGTCTCTGTGTATCAGAAAACTTACGGCTTTGAACCTACAGCTATGGAAGTTGCAGATATAAGAGTAATACAGAGAAACATTCTGAAGTAAACACATTGCCAGTAATAAAATTTGTTAAAATGCAACAGTTTTCTCTCTTACCAAAACCAAAGTTTATTCTTCCTAATGGACTCATGAACCATAAAGGGAAAGAATTGCTCTGTAAAATGTAATCTTTCTTTCTAAATAACTGACAAAACAGTCAAGTACTTGCATGCCTAAGCATTTTACATGTTTCAGTGAACAAAATGCTTTTGTATTCATTTAGTCAAGTGTTAAATATGTTTTAAGGCCCCGAGAACAGCATTTCAGAGCTGCTTTCTGGAACACATTTCTGTGATGAAGTTATTTGTCAGCTGATGATCGCCGGGAAGTAGAACAGACATTATTTCCCTCAAATCTTCCGATTCTGCTTAGCACAGTACCAGAAAGTAAAATAATTATGTAAATCAGGATGTAAAGGTAGAAAAATACTCAGAACACTGAGTATATCCAGAGTGTGTTATGGAAATCTTGAAAGAACTTTTCTTTTGCCAAATTAGTATTTCATTTAAATGTGTTCCACAGTAGTAAGCCTTTTGGCAAGGACCTGGAGGTGAGTGATTCTTGGCTTGGAAAAAAAAAATCAATAAAGAACATGGCAGTCTGTTGTTCACACATGCTTTTTGCCCATGCTGCCTTTGATTTGTTCTTGGGATTTTCATGTCTTCAGTTTAGCCAATTTTCTTACGATTGATCACAAACGCGTTGCAGTTTGTTCATCTGGTTGAAAAAACTAAATTTTAATCTCTGATTATTTTCATCATTAATTTGCTTTGAAATTTCTTTACAAAGATTGCTGCCATCTACCATATATAATTTTAAAACACCTCCTCAGCAAACAAAGCACATCATTGTAGATTCCATCAGAATTCTTTTGTCACTGAAGAGTGAAGGTCAGCTCTTCTCATGTGATCATTTTACACACTTAGAAAGCTGGAAGAATGTTAAGTATTAATTAGCTCTGTTGTTTGAAAAATAGGTCTTCCGCTGGTTGCTATGTTTTATAGTGCCTTTGCCCTCATTCAGAGAGCAGTTCTCAGCCTGGTAGAGTGATCTTCTTTTGCAGTCCTGAAATACACAGCTTTCAGCATTCTGCTCTTAAATGAACAGGAAACTAGAATGCTGCCTGTATAAGATTACATCCCCAGGGTCAGTTCAGTCCAGGAGTACGCACGTGTGGTTAACAATGCAACTTCAACTGCTTATGACACACCAAGGCTCTAAAAAAAGCTGATCTCAGTAGTTAAAAAACTAGCTTGTGTTACCCATTACTTTCCTGATAAGACCTTTCATGAGTCATTAATCTTCATCTGTGTTAGATAAGATCCAACATACTACAGTATTAGCAGACATTACTCTTGCAGCTAAACAGAATGACTGTTTTGCGTTGCCAAAAAAAGAGGCTTGTTCTGCTGTCTGAAAAACAACTCTGAGCCAAATATTTAGTCAGTCATTCATTTTTAGCCCATTTCCAGTACAGGAAGGTTTTGAATACATTGTTATTTATAAATGGAAAAATTTCATAACTTTTTTGTTAACTGTCTAAATGAGACAGTGGTCTGTCATTCCACAGGGGGAAAAAACCAAACAACCACTAGTTGAAAATGTTTTCCTTATTTGAACTATAAGAAGTGCAGTTGACCTTACTGAACCTCTTCTACAGAATAATTTTCATATGGAAATTATTAGATTCTAAAGTACTTTTCCTCATTTTACAGTATGCTTTTATTAGCTGATTTTTTGATAATATATGGGATTGTGTGTAAGTATACAAATTTCAAAGTGCATTTTGCTTTCTTTATAAATTAAACTGAATGTTATGAAACTTCTCTGCTTTGGTTTTGAGACCAAAAAATCAGCATAAACAAAAGAAACTCTGAATTAATTAAGGAGACACACAATGTAGTGTTGTCCAGGTATAAAATTATATCTGTATGTTGTGTAAATAGTAGGACTATTTAAATCATCTGTACTGTGTCATCTTTAAAAAAACAGAGTACCATTACAAGTAGAGATAGAATAAACTGACTTCTTTGAAGAAACTGGGGAAAAAAATGCCTAAACAGTTAAATGTGCCCATTATAAATTGATAGAATTGATTTAGCAAAAATTGCTGTAAGACTCAGCCTAATATCCTTCACACAAGTTTTCTGACAGAAGCTCTGGTATAATCAAAGCATATACCATGGCTTATCAAAGTAGATTAAACAAATTTTAAAAAGCTACAGAATATGTCTGTCACTGCATTCTAAAAGTTTTTGTGGATAGTATTTTTTATTATATTTTTAATGTATCCCTCCTCTGTGCAGACAGAGACAGAAATTATTTTCCCAAATTCTGCAAAATGGAGTATTTTTGCATCTGGAGTTTTTAATTCTGGTTAGTATATATGGAAGAGCTAACTGGAAGTGATGATAAAATGTTTTCTAGTTTTACTGGGAATGGGATTTGAATTGGATGTTGCATTAAATACAGAAAAAAGTTCAGAGAAAGAAAAAAGAATTATATTACATTTGTACTGATGGTGTTATTTTAAAAAGAGCTTGCAAAGATAATTGTTTCTGGAAATCATTACATTCATTTGTATTAATTAGTACTATCCTGCATTACAAAAACGTTATGTGTGTAAAATTACTGCAGAGACTTGTACCTGCAAAATTACTTTCAAGTCAGTTTTGAAAACTTAGCTTGATCAATTTACTTCCTTCAGATGCAAAGTGATTTTCCTTAAAGCCATTTATGTTGGAATCTCTTCAGCAGTTCTCCCAGTATTTCTTTGTAAAAGTCTACTTTCTGGTGTCCTTTAAACATAAAGTGCAAAAACACTACACGGTACTTTAAATAGTTTATGATGCACTTTATTTTTCTGTTTATTTCCAGAAGAGATATGTACACTTGTAATAGCAGAAACTTTCCCTGAAGATTCAGGAATTTTCACCTGCACAGCAACAAATGAACATGGTTCAGTAACAAGCAGTGCACAGCTAACTGTCTGCTCAGGTATGTGACAAAGAGAAAGAGGAGCTTTTAGTCATAAATCTTACATAATTAATTTACCTGTGAAATTGTCAGTCTGGTTTCTTTGTGGAAAATGGCTGCTGTAAGACATGGGGTTTGGCAACCTCAGTGCATTCTTATATAGAAAATTGAATGCTTCTTCTGGTCATTTCCTGGTTTAATATTTTTTTTAATGTGAAATACGTTTTTAAAGTTCTGCTACAAGCCTGGCATATCTTAAGCATTAGGGTTCAAGACTAGATGGCAGCAGAGACAAAATTAAAGAGATGGAATTATGCTACTAAAGGTGGCCTTATGTAAAATAAAGCACTGTGAGTATGTTTAGTTTTGGTGATGGTATGTTTAGTTTTGTGATGTGTTTCTGTATATATTGTCATGGGATGCACTAACCCAGCTGCCAGTGCAAACTTGCCATATATACATGTGTTCTTCAACATTTTTAAATTATTTATTCCTCAGTGATCCTGAAACTCCAGGAAGTTCTGTTTTAGCTGTTGTTGTCCATACTTGCCAATCTCAGTTAGTGCCTTGATTCCTGAAATAGATTTAGAGGGATCCATAAGGTTTTTAGTTGTGCCTTCTGCATGGGGCAAACTCAGAAAATGAATAGCCACTCATGTATCTAATTCAGCATAAATTATCAATAAGAGGACTAGAAAAATACCTTCATAAAATCAAAGATATTTCACCTCTAAAAAATTGAAAATACACCTTGTATTTACCGTGTACTTTGTATATGACCTGTTGAAGAGACGTTCTTTTTGATTTCTTTTAGCCAACTTAGAATGCTCTAGTGATGATTTCCATCATTTCCCACCACTTCCTCCAGTTGAAATTAGCTCTCTTGAGCTTCCTTCTAAGAAACATGCAGATACCCACCAAGCAAACAATGCTGAATTGAGACCTGGTGTGATAGACCTTCAACAACAGCTCAGTTCATCTGAGGAAAAATCAAATGGCATTCATCCTGTTCATGGAATAAATGGAATGATTAACAGCAAGCCAAATGGTGATAAATCCATCCCACCTTCAGCTGTCTTGCTTTCACCCACAAAGGAGCCACCACCAGTGCTTGCCAAACCAAAGCTGTAAGTATTTTTGTTTGGGCGGGTTTTTTTCCTATAAACTTGATATTTGTTGACAGCAAATTTTTGCCTGAAGCTATTTAGCATTAGACAAATCGACAGTCACTGTGCCTGTCCCTTGAAGAGTCTTCCTGCTGCTGTGATTTATGGGCCAACGAGCTGAATACAGGAGACTCTTGTTTCCTTTACATAGTGCTACGTCAAAGGGAAATACATTCCATATTGCAATGCCTTTAGAGAGGTTTAAGATAAAGTCACAAACAGAGAAATATTGTAGTGGATGCTGCTCTGTGCCTTTCTTTCCCCTAGTCAAGATCATAGATCACAGTGGCCTGAGATTTTTGGAGCTATTTGTGTTTCAGCACTGGTTGGGTTTTTTTAATCCGCATGTGCTTGGGTTTGTGTAGTCAGTGGATATTCAGGTGTGTAATGTTTTTATTATTTTTTATGTTTATTTATAACACATATCTCCTTCTGCTTGCAGCCAGATTACAATAGCTTTCTTACAGCTAAAAATATGAGAAGGCAAAGTTCTAGGAAAGGAAAGAGAAATGAGTGGTAAAAAAGTTGCAGTAACATTTTTACCTTTTGTTAATGGTGATACCTTATGCATAAGTGGTTATACTCCCTGTTAACTTATAGTTTGATTTTTACATTGTGCAGACTCCTCTTTTCCATCTCCCTCAAGGATATTTGGAGTGTGATGAACTAAAATGCTACTTTATTTCATTTGCATCAATAGTCAGAAGGAATTGTAAATTATAAAAATATGTTTAAGAAGAGGCATGAAACATGGTCTTCAAGGCTAGCAAGGTCATTTACTTTATTCTGTGTTTTCACAGGAAACTTGCAAATATAAAAATGCTGTTCTTTTAGCATTTATGTTGAATTTAAAAGCACAAAATCACATTTGAGGCAGCAAGCCAACAGCATTCCCTTTCTACACACCACTTTTTCTTTCAGTTGCTCTTTTTCATTCTAAGCCGTCTCTGGCAACTGTAGAAGGGAAGGAGGAGTGGAAGAACTAGAAAGACAGAGAGGTGAAATAACAGCATATATGGTGGTGGTTGCATGTATGAGAGGGAGGTTGCTGAGAATGGCAACTTGCAGATGATATCAGATATGGAGTAAGCCAGGTGGTCCTGTACCTAGCATATCTGTTGAAGACCCACTCATGAAGAAGGGAGATAGTGGCTCCAGCAGAGCAGTAAAGAAGAAATTTCACCCCAGAAGTTTCTTTCCGAGAAGCAAGGTTGCCTGAGATAAAGGAAAGAATGCAGTGTAAAAGACTTCTCATTGTGTGTTCACTGCTATGTGTGCAAAATTTGTTTTGTTTTTAAACATAGAGTTAACATAAAATACAGTAATGTGAGAGGGATGCTATTGCAAAAGTCCCTTCAGTTGCTGATGTCCAAATTGATGACCTTGGAATCCCTAGTGTAATTACACTTGATTCCTATATTTGCAATTAACAACACTTGATGCACAAGAGACTGATCTTGATTGCAGTCAAGATACATGTTTTGCTTGGCCAAAGACAGTGTAAGTCTGCGCTGCTGTCACAAATTGAAATCTTGCCTTCTCCTCAGCCAAATATTTTGCTCCCAAGCACAGTGATAGCGTAAGGAAGGGAAAGAGTGCCAACAAGAGGAGAAAAAGAAATGTCTGACTGCTGAGACTTGAAATCAGCTTTCAGCATTTGGAAAACTGCTTCCCTAGTAAAAGTGAACAAAATAGTGACATTAAAATTAGCTAAGTAGTAAAGTAGCTGTCTCAACCATGAGAATGATCTCTCTTGAAAAGAACTCCTCTATTGAATTGTATCTGTCCGTGAGGTATTAGATGATAGAATCAGCATATACTAGCAGTGAATAAGAGGAAGCAAACTTATAACTTTCTTTAAAAGTTATTTAAACTTCTAAATTGTTAACTATGGAGAGAGCTTTAAGCTTCTGAATATCATTAATAGGTTTATTTTCCAGGAAGACTGGTTTTAAATTTCCAAAATAATATTTTGTTTTCAAGTTTGTCTTAAATTGCAAATTATTTAACAGGTTTATCTGTGAAGTCTCTGAAAACAGTTTCTTCAGCCAACACTGAAAGTAATTGCAGAGAGTTTGGGAATTATAGGCTGGTTTTGGTTTTGTGTTTATTATTATTTTTCATTTAACATGAAGGAGAGACTGAGTACCTTCTTGAAGTATGAAATACATTTGCATCTTGGCAATGTAACCAACACCTATAAATAATGATTTATCACAGTTCAATCTAATGCAAGAGCGGACATGCTACAGAGAGTTACTGTAGTTGTTTTCAGGCTTGAAAAGTGTTTTAAAGTCCTAGAAAACATTCAGATTGTGGTTACAGACACTTTAATAATCCTTAAGGCATCATTAGTTGTTGCTTCAGTCTGGTGCTAAGAATATTTAAAATATTTATATGACAAAATAAAAAATTCTAGGAAAAAGATACATAGAAGTAATTGCGGAAGTAGTCAATAACAGATATTTTGCTAAAGTGAAATCTAGAAGATTCACTAATTCTAAATATGGTTAAAAGGCACAATATTTCCTGATGTCTTGTTTGCAACATGAGTTTCTGTAAAGTGGAAGGACTGTTGAACTGAGACAGAAACCCCTGATTTCTGTGATTCTGATCTCTGCTGCAGTGACTTATTTGAGGAGGTTGAGCTATTACTGTGCCTTGGACTTTTCTGGTCCATAATGCACAGATGTAATGCACAGATGTAAAGCACAGATGAGGTTTCAGAAGATCCCCAGCAATGTATGTAATCTTAATATATTTTGTATCTCTTAAAATAAGGTAAATTATGTTAATATTAAATTCAGTATGAAGTCTATGTATGAAGGTTGTGCCTTATACCCCTTATAATTCTTAGTGTGAACGTCTACAAAAAAACCACAACACTGTCTTGTACCACTGTATATAACATGTCCATGGTTTCAGTTGAAGAACTTCCATTCAAGTGGCTTGGTATTACTATTATTTTTCCATGTGTCTGTTAAAACAGAAAGAGAAAAAAAGATAGTGGATGGTTAGTGGATGTACCTGTGTGATGTTTGCTGGCTTTGTAACAAGCTGTCACTATAAAGTTCATCGGCTCAGTGGAACTACAACGTGGTGCCGGAGCTTCCTGACCAGAGAGCTTCTCTGCAGTTGTCTCATGTTCAGCCTCTTTGTGTTGGAGTGTTAGCCAAGTTTGTCATATACAATGGCCACAAAAAGTATAAGCTTAAAGGGAATTTATTATTTCCATAATAATTGTATTCGATATCTATATATCTAAGCAGTAAGAAACTGTTTAGAATATACTGAGAAGAGCTGGATAGGAAAATAATATGTGAGGATAGGCAACAGTTCAATGATTCATGTAACTTTACATTCATGAGCAAAGGTCCATCCATATCCATTTATTTTGTTTCATCTGCTGTGCTCTTTCAAGGTTATAAGGACCTTTGGATCTTTATTTTGCTGTAAAATCTACCCTCAATAAAATCTTGATCTACACATATTTTCTACTGTAGTAGAAATAACTAATGCTGAGTAAGTTCGCTAAAATGTAAAACAGGATAACTGCACATAAAGTTAATCCCTTGATAATAGTACAAGTCCAGAGCATTTGCTGCATCTGTTTGCACAGTTAATATATGGATGTTTCATTTGTAATGCTTTTTTTTCCTCATTCTGTATCAATACATTTTTAACAGAAATTGAGTTAAAACAAGAAAAAGTTTTGTGGCAGCATTTCCATTTCAGTGATCAACAGACATTTGGACTAGGGTTTATAATGTATTAATAACAAGTAATATATGAAAATAGGGGAGGCTTTATGAGAGAATATACTAAGAAATAGTTTTTTTCCCAATTTTCTCAGACTCATTTCTTATGCAAAAGTTGCAAATCCTAAAAAGGGATGAAAAGTGTTATAATGTCTCCTGGCACATCTGTGGACTGAATGCAGTAGATAATAGTGAATTTGAAGCAAGGCATTAGTTTGGGGGTTTTTTTGGTGATCCTGGATCACTGTGAAAATCTCTGAGACCACTGGAAGACAGAGGAGAGGAAATAGGAAGTGTTATGAAATGTAGGTTGAAAGTCACATTTCATTGCCTGTTTTGGATCAAGGAATAACATGACCCAAAAACAGTTATTGCTGAGAAATTTCCTTTTTGCTTGTGTCTTTGTCAGTTAATTGTATCTTTGTTAACATAGTGTCAAGGGTAATCACAAATGAACTTTGAGCCTTTTAAAATCTGCAGCAATAGAAGTCTGAATCTCTTTCTAACAATAGATGTGAAAAACAAGAGAGGTTAAAGGTGATACATTTATTTTTTAGTTTTTTTCTCCTTCTGGCACTGATGTTTTCTGACCCAAGTAGGTGGAGACACCTAAGTGTACATCCTTGCCTGCATAAAAGCTAATCAGTTTTTTAATCAGAAAATATCCTTGGAACAGTCATGAAATACATGTACTGTGTGTGCCACCATCATGGTGTATGCACACAGGACTTTGGTATTTTTTCAGATTTGTGCTTTAACACTGAAAGTAATCCAGTTTATAGGACAAGCAAGGGCATGAGGGAAATTAATAGAATCATAGAATGGTTTCAGTTGGAAGGATCTTTAAGGATTATCTAATTCCAGCCCCCCTGGAATGGACAGGGACACATTCCACTACACCAGGCTGCTCAAAGCCCCATCCAGCCTGGCCTTGAATGCTTCAAGGGGTGGTGCATGCAACAGCTTCTCTGGGCAACCTTTTCCAGTGCCTCACCATCCTCACAGTGAAGAATTTCTTCCTAATATCTAATCTAAACCTCCCCTCTTCCAGTTTAAAGCCATTATTCCTTGTCCTATCACTATATGTCCTATCTGCTCAAGATTTCCATAGGCCGTCTTGAGTTACTGGAAGGGCTGCTCTAAGGTCCCCCCAAGAACATTTTCTTCTCCAGGCTGAACAGCCCTGGCTTTCTCAGTCCATCT